TGTGATCATTCTAAATGTATTTTAACAGACTGAATCACACAGTGAAAGAACGCACTCTAAATGCGTGCACGCACTAACGTTAGTCTATCTACTAGACTTCACGGCACTCTGTAGGAGTGTTTTGTTTGTTTTTTGGCACAATACTGATAATGTCAAATCTCACATCACTAAAACAACAATTACGATATTATCGCAGGCGATATATATCACACACCCTGCACCACTGTCGTGCGACAAAAGACCACCTCTGCAGAAAATCGTTAACGCCTACTTTATTATGCTTACATTATTGCTTTTTTAGCCCTGCCCACTAAATCGTGCATGTATTGGCGAGCATTGTTGTGTCGCGTCACATCGGTAATCCATTTCCCTTTCATGTCAAAATAAGCGTGAGGGCTTGGAGTATGTCAGAAAGAGAACGGGACAACAGTTTACTGTGGGGTATTTGTCGTGCCATTCCGTGCCACAGAATTGCTGATTATAATGGGTTCTGCTGTCTTTACTCATGGTGCACCACACGCGTCCAGTGTATTTTGACGAATGTGGGTAACCAAACAGTTGCTGGTCCCCATTGACTTCCATAGTATGGAAATAAATATGGAATCGATGAGGACCAGAAACTGTTTGGTTACCCACATTCTTCAAAATATGTGGGTATATTTTGAAGAATGTGTTCTTCATATTATATTTTGAAGAAATATGTTCTTTTATGATCAGCAGAAGAAAGAAATCCATGCAGTTTTGGAAGATTTATGGGTGAACTATATCACTTCAGGGAGTTGTGTGTGTGAAAACACCATCTCACATCTTACTGTCATATGTTTTCCCTGGTATTTTTCTTTGCTTTGAACCGGTGGATGTCAAAGGTCAACAGCACTATTACCAACATTTATTGAAACATGATCTGTTTGAAAAGTTACTTTTCTGTGCCTACAGTGCAATTTCAAAATCAACTGTATGTGAAAATGTGTATAAAGCAAACACTGTATAGTCTCTTAATTGTTTTGATTGCTCTCTTGCACAAAGCAGTGGGCATAGCAGAAACTTTTCTTAGTAAGTAAAAGTAACTAAACACTGAGTACTTAGCATGTTTTAACGTATAATGAAATATACGGTAGAAATTTACAAAGAAAAGTATTGATCATCATACATGTTCAGTGTGAGTATTAGTTCGGTTCTGTTTTTTTAGGTTGTGTACTATAATAAGATGGAACAACTTTGGTCAGCTTTCGGTGACTTCCTGTGTGAAATCTAAACAGGATATTGTTCTGGCTGTGCAAATGCTATTTGAGGTGAAAGTATGGTTTCATTTAAATTCTTTACCGAAATTATTGCCAAATTATTAAACATAGTGAAAGTTTAATATTGAAAATAATTTAGTTATTTATTTTTGTGTGTGTGTGTGTGTATATATATATATATATATATATA